CAATGGCCAGATAAGTTTTAAGCCTTGAGTGCTAATCAAATGCTGGAATGGCCAATCAATTTGGTGTCGACGTCTTTTAATGAACGTTTTTCCAATGATGCAATGCAACCGCCTGTTGCTGGCGCCATCGTCGCATATTGTGAAAAGTGAAAAGTGAAAGGCAAAAGCGAGCGACCGCTTCGTCCCGCCCCCTTTTCCGGTGCCCCTGGGGGCTGTATTGTGGCCAGTTGACAGTTTCATTAGTTGGTTTACATGCAGGAGGTGCCCGTCTCTGTTCCCTGTTTGTTTGCATTGTATTGCCATGTTGTGCAGGATATTGGCTGGCTTGTCCTGTTCACTTCTGTATGTGTATGTGTGTGTGTGTGTGTGTGCGTGTCTCTGTCTGTCTCTCTGTTTGGTGTGGCTGGGTGCTCTGCCTTGTTGTGGCATTCTCCGGAAGTTGCCTGATAAGTTTACGTTGACATGTTGCCGCACTCTACCTCACTACGATTTCTTACTTTATGCACTTGTGTGTGCTCGTGTATATGTATATGTATAGGTATATGTATATTCCCAGCTGAAAGCTTTCATAAGTTGATTGAAATCTTAACTTTTGACCATGCTATTTTGACAGCCACTTTGGGCGCTAACTTAATTCTGATTTTGCCTTCGTAGTTTGTTTGCCTTTTTGGCTCGAATCGAACCTGAGCCTTAAATTTATGGCTATTAGGGTTAGGTTAATAGCAGTATAAGTGATTTACCGAATATTATATTGAATGAACAACAAGTAAAATATTCTTTAGTGTCACGTCTCCATGAGAACATTGGCAATGTACATATGTAAACGTCATAAAGTATACATCATCTTAATGTGGATATAAAGTCGAGTTTATTTGGGCACGTCCGTCTGTTCTCTGCTCTCTGCTGCTGCCCTCTATCTGTATTTCTGACGTCTCTGAATGCTTTTCCGTCTGTCTGAGCATCTCTCTCCCTCCCTCTCTCTCTATCTGTCTACCTGTGTTTCCGTCTCTTTGTCAATTTGTCTATCTGTCTGTATGTTCGTCAGTCTGTCATCTCTGTATATATATGTAATATATGTATATATATGTAATCGACTCCCTTTGTCTTTCTTATGTCTTGCTATATCTGTCACTCTGTCTGTGTACCTATTTATATGTCTGTATATGTGGTTGTCCGAGTGTCCTTTCCCTCTCTCTCTCTGCATGTTCATATGTCCGATCGTCTCTCTGTCCATATGTCCATATACTTTCGTGTATATGTAAAGCTGTCTATCTGTTTCGTTGTCTGCCTGTCTGCCTGTCTGTCCTTCTTTCCGTGTAGCATCCGACAGTCCATCCGTCAGTCCGTCCATCCGACGCTCACTCTGCCTTCATATCTGATCGTCTTTCTGTACATCCGATATCTCTCTCTCCCCCTCTCTCTCTTTTTAACTATCATTCGCTCTTTCTCAGTCTCTCTCTCTCTCATTCTCTCTCTTTCTCTCTGTCACTCCTCTAACGCTCTCTGCCTCTATATCGCTCTCTCTTTATTTCCGATCGATATCAACATTTATATATTTATGTATACATATATATAATATTCTTTATACCTATATACCTAAAACTTATTTTTTAAAGACCATATCTTCAACTCTGAAAATTGCGATTCTTATATACACTTATTTTAAATAATTAATACATGAAAAAAACTTAAGTTGAGCTGAAAATATTTTCACATTTTTCTTCACTACCAAATCTCAATTTCAATAATTAAAATCAGAATCTAGAAAGATTTCTATTTTTTTGTTCAACTCTAATCGAGAGCTCTTGACTGCATGTCCTATGTAAATGTCATTTGTTGTTGTTGAGCACACTGAGAAGAGCTCTCAAATGCTTTTTCAAAGTAAATGTCAATTATGGTTAAAAAAAAAAAAAAAAAAAAAAAAAAAAAGAAAAACTTCTCCATCCACAGCTGTGAACGGAACTTGCCAATCAAGTTCCATTTCTAATTGGAAAAACTATTTAAATCCAAACAGCCTTAGATAATACCAACACGTATACACCTTTCAGACATGTCAGCCACACCTCGACTCTTGGTCTTACCCACTCCACTCCCCACCCCCAGGAGGTCTGGAAAATCGAATACGCACACAAACATTTGCATTTTTCGTTTTGTGCCGTTGACCCATAAAAACAAAAGAGGATGAAAAACAAAAAACAACAACAGCAGCAACAACAACAACAACAAAATGGAAAACGAAAACACAGGAGCTTCAGCTGACGAACAGCAAAGTGCGCAGGACGATGTGAGGATGATGCCATTCCAATGCAAAATTGAACAAACTGTCAGTTGCAGCAGGAGCAGCAGCAGCAGTCGGGCAGATCAGGAGGCCTATAACACACATAACACATAACACTACACTACACAGCACAACACAACACAGGCCAAACACAACACTACACGTCAGCAGCAAGCTTTGTGCTTTGTACCCAGCCAGCTTGTGGGTATAACACGATATCTATCTCCCTCTCCCTCTCTCCCTTTCTCTCTCTCTGTCGCTCTTTTTGGCTGTGCATAGCGATTGTGACTCGCTGCTGACCACATACACTGTGCGAAAATCTGTTTGGCTCATTGATTTTGATGTGCATGTGGTGGTACAAACTGAAGGTTTGATGGAACTCGTATTAAGTAGTTCGAGCTGAATATGTGATGGAACTGGTATTATGTAGTTCGACCTAAAGGTTTGATATAACTTGTATTAAATAGTTCACATCAGTTCCATTAGAACTTCATATGAATGATGATTTAGCTGTTCAGTTAACTAAGAGGCACTAAGAGCCACTAAGTGTGAGCTCTGCTGTGGATATATAGATAGATATAATATGTGGATATATAGATAGATATAATATCACTGAAACTAAGGCATGGAGATCCAACATTTACAAGAAACATTTCACTGAGAATTATGGCATGACTCTAATAATTTACTAAGAATCCAGCTAATTGCATACTTGTAATATTTTAGATATATCCTAAACTAAGGCATGGAGATTGAATATTTACAATAAACATTTCACTGAGAATCATTACATTAATATTAATAATCTTCTACTATATCTTCTAATTCTATAGAAATCTACTTATAATATTTTACATACCCAATATTTTGTCCAGTGTAGCTGAGTTGGTGTAGTAACTTTGTTAGCCAACACTCTGTTAGCAGCAGAAGGACACATCGTGAGCTGCTGCTGCTGTGGCTCCTGCTGTTGCTGCTGCATGATAATAGGCCATTGGACGTGGTCTCTAAACGTGGACATCGATTCACGGACATCATGGACTTTTTGGGCATATGAGCGTGTGTGTGTGGGAGTGTATCTAGAGTGTTTTTTTTTTTTGTTTCTTGTGGAGCGTGCCTATAAAAGTGAACGGAAGTTAATACGTTTACCTGGCTGTATTGTTTTTTGTTGCCATTGCCCGCACACAGGTGGCGCCACCTACATTGTTTGATGGGCTTTGTATGCCTTTTATTGTTGTTGTTGTTGTTGCGGCTGCTGTCAGCTTTGTTGTTTTTGTTGCTACGTAAACAGAGTAAATTGAATTGCGTTAATGCGCTTATGGCTTATTCGAGTGTTGTTGGGTCCATTGCTGCAATAAATGGCCAAAATAAAAATGCATATGAAAATCTACATACTATCATAAAAATAGCCAACAAATTGGGTTTAAGTACAAATGACACACCGAATACATACCAACACACACACACGCACACACACATGCCCGCTGAACACGTACAAAGTCAGCTCTGCTGTGGTTTGGGATTTATAAATATGGCATAACATTTATGTTGGCTTAAATGTAATTCTGAAATGGAAGTGAGGGAATTACGACTGCCAGCACTTAATGAAGCCACATAAACACATACACACACACACACACACACATATATATATACATATATACAAACACAAGTACATATTCATATTTACACTGTGTGACAGTTGTGATAATCATTATTTTGGTTTAGCTCGACACTAAATTGAAACATTCAGCTCTGCCCAGTCTAAATATAAATGGGTTATGTGAGCTTATGTAATAAGCAGAGCTTAAGAGCCCATCAACCATATGAAGTTTAGCTAAACTGTTTTTATCTACTGCATGTGCTTGAACGTAGCAGTGATTAGCAACAGATATTACATCTGGCTATGAAGCTGGAAGTTATGGCAACAAAAGGTCAGAGGTACACTTAATTATATATGTCTGCCTTTATAGCAAACTCAATTAAAGCAAAATTTTACATTCAAAATATGTCTGACCAGATTTGTTAGGGTATGTCATAGGTGAATCTGCTCTGAATCGAGGAACCACTCTGTGCTGAGGTACATATATAGCTGAAACAAATATAAAAAGTAAGAATTAAAAACCCATTTAAAATCAAGAATCTCAAAATCATCATCTATCAACATCTGCCAACGTTTATGAGTTATGAAGAATTAAAATTAGTAATTACGAATATCATAATGGAGAGCAATGTAGAGATAATGAAAGATGAAAATGTTGAATATCATATATAAGCTATAAACAATTAAATTAGTAAGCCAGGCATAGTCTTTCCATAGGCAGAGTGTGATTGATTAATTAGATAGACTTGTCTAGATAGCGTCTTTTCAGTCCATTCAGTTTTTATGGATGGTTTGTTAATGTCAAGACAGAGTTGTTGGGATTAGAAAAATATTTAATTTTTTTTGTAATATTGAATTAAAATCAGGAGTAGTCTAAAATGTTTACAAATTTGACTTTGGGACTCTTATCAAGTTAAGTAAGCCATGCTAAATATTAGGTTTTTTATTAATATATATGTATTCATGTATATATATACATGTATATAAACATATACGTATATCTATATCCAGGTAATTTATTAAGAACTCATTCTCTCACTCTCTTTCTATCTGCCTCTACTTTTTCCAATTATAACTTAATTTTGCTCTACTTTAAACCTTTTTAATTCCTTCTATTTTCAGTGATGCGTTCGTGTGGGAATCAGATCTGCTCTCTCCTTCATTAGCTGGCAATATAAAAAGCTGCAGTGCTCTGTGAATTCTCGGGTAAGTACATATTAATGAATATTCTATCTTTTGTCATTAAGATATACAATTTTTTCTGCCTTTTGTCGTTTGTTATAAATATGGGCAGCCATAAATATAGCAAGCAGCGACTCACACTTCAGTCGTAAATTCCTATCGTAAGCCCTTGAGTCTTGAGTAACAATTTATTTTTAAATGCAGTTATGGTCTTGGCTCTGTCCATAATCGCATTCTATTCTTTATCTGCCATTGACTTAGTGCCTGATCCTGTTGCTGTCCATTGCATAAGCCAAATGAATTCCTGCTGCTTCTTGTTTCAGTTGCCGTTATCGTTGTCCTGGCAAAATTGCATTATTTTGTATTAGCAGCGGGTGAGAGTGTCACCTGCCTGCCCCCCTCTCAGTAAGTAGCTGCAACTGTCCATATTTCTCAGTATCTTCCTCCTCCTCTTCGACGTCTTCTACTTTGGCGTTTTAACATTTTCCTAATACACTAAAAGCCAACGTCATAGTTCAAAGTCGACGGCACTTAGCTAACGGCAAATGCAATCGCCTTTAGTTGCGCATTTTATACTCGCTCAAAGTTGATGAGCGGGTATATTAGCACTTGAAAAGTGTATGTAACAGCGTACAGGATAACAATTATATATACAGGATAACAATTATATATTCATATATTTTGAGTGGAGCAAGTGTGAGTTTATGTAGGTATATGTATATGGATGTCGAGTTTGATATAGTTGAGGTGAGTTGAACAAAAAGCCGTACCCAACTCTTCGCCTATACACTACTCTACTCTACTGTGTTCCATTCTGCAGTACTCTTCTCTACTCTACTCCACTCAGCTCTATTCTGTTCCACTCTACTCTGTTTCAGTCTACACTTCTCTACTTTACTCTAAGCGGTTCCGCTCTACTCTGTTCCGCTTTACTCTGTTCCACTCTACTTGGTTTCACTCTACTCTGTTTCGTTCCACTCGGTTTCGCTCTGCTCTGTTTCACTCTACTCTGTTTCACTCTACCCTGCTTTGCTTTGTTTCACTGTATTGTGTTCTACTATACTCCGTTCTACTCTACTCTGTTCCACTCTATTATGTTCAACTCTACTCTCTTGTACTCTTCTCTGATCTACACTACTTTACTCTGTTTCACTGTACTCTACTCAACTACTACTCTGCTCTACTTTACTCTACATCTTCTGTCTACTCTTGTCATCTAAGGACTCTCTATTTATATAGCTCAGTATATAAGAGCAATATACTCTTTTCATGTCATAAATTAACTGACAATTTAACTAATTTGCTTAGAATCCTTTTAAGCAAGTTTAAGCTGTTCCTCTTCAACATGATCATTAATAGTCAAGCAGTTCAGCTGCCATTCAGCTGCTCGTTAGGGTATCCTTCAGTCGAATACTCCCACCAATACTACTTTAGCTTGTCTTATTTATTTTTATAATATTTTCACTTTGATTCAATTTCTTTATACCTTTAAGTTAACATCCGCTTTGCCGGTTGCGTTCAGCTTTCACTTCCGTTTTGCCAATGCGTTCGCGTTCGCGCTCTCTCTCCCTCTCTCTCACTCGCTCACTCCGCCTCTAGCTGTGTGTGTGTGCGTGAAAGGTATAGAGTCTTCCGCTGCAAGCAGTGGCATTATCCCTGCAATCAGCGTAACTGTAAATCGCACACACTCACGCACATGCTTACACATACTAAGCTATTAGAATAGTTGACACAGGCAGAGACTAAAAATGGCGTAGGAAATGATGCTGTGATGGCTGCCAAGTCTCGTATGCTTTTGTATTATGAATGTAACTGTAACACGCAAGCAAACATCGCACACGCAGCACATCACAGACAGATAGACAGTCAGTCGGAGAGAGAGAGAGAGATGGAGAGAGAGAGAGGGTGGGGGCTGTTGGACCAAGCGAAACAGGACAGTTGTGCAGCAGCGGCAGGACATTTTTCTAAACTGAACTCGACTCACGGAACTTTCGGTGTCCCGTGGCCGGACGGGCGCTTCGTTCGCATCGTCGCCAAACTGACGGATATTCCGGTGCTTCTGTCAAACGCTTGTCATTTTATTTACTATCCACACAGACACACACACACACACACACACGCACACTCTCTCTCTGGCACAATGAAGCACCACTCACTCACAGCATCCGAACGTCCTGTTTCGCCTTTTATCGGCTTAAAATGCGAAAACTGCAAATAAATACGAGAAGAGCCCGAGCAGAGCCCGAGCAGAGCTGAGCTCTAGAGTTTCATTCGCTTCAAGTGCTTCGCCTGCGCTGGCCCACTAAATTATTTACTTAGTTTTTATTTAGCGTTAAACGCTTGTACTACTCTGGCTGGCCATGTTGTAGTGGCTCCTTGTATCTGTTAGATACTTTCGATCGTTAGCCGCCAGTTGAGTGTAAAATGGCTTAAACTGTCTGCCGCCTGCCCAATTGTTGCGCCAGTTCCATGTTCCGTCCATGTTCATTTCGTGTGCGCTTCGAGTGCTGCTCAAATATGGCCCACACACAATCACACACACACACATACACGCACACAGTGCGTTTTATTGGATGATTGGATTCTACTAAGTGAAGAATGGTAATTGGATGCCTGACTAGCTGGCTGACTGGCTGGCTGTCCCTCTCTGTCTATCCGTCTCACTCTATCTCCCTCTTCCTGTGTGTGACTCCACTTGCCAGAGGCCGAAGCCTAAAGTGAATATATGACAATCGCCTGGCAACAGCTCTATTTAATTTCTTATTTCAGCTTTATCCAGTATTAGTATTAGAATTTAAGTACTATGTCTCGATATAAGCGCAATCAATAAATAGTTGCTTGGCTGATATTTGTTGCAGTTTATTCAAGTCTTGTTCGCTTGACTACTATTTATTATTAATATATTATAAGAATTTCTTCTATTGCTTAAATCAACTTTTATTATAGTTTTGTTCGTTTGACTACTTTTGTATTGTTAATATATTATAAGAATTTATTCTTTTTCTTGAATACAATTTTATTATATTTTATGAAACTTCGCTATCTCGAAAAGTCTTTGCTCTTTTAAGTAAATTTCATGAGTGAAATGAAAGCGTTTGAGATTGTAAAATCTATAATATTTGTTGCCTTTTTATGTGATTTTCATTTTATAGTAAATTGTGAAATTTTGTAAAAATATTTAAGAAATCTCATTTCGCTTTTTCCGTTAACTCTCTGTTATCCTTTATCCTTGCACTTGGTGTTTAAGGTTTTTTTTTAATAACAGTACAAGAGTTTTCATATTATTATGTAAATTCTACAGCAAATATTTGTAATATTTCCTATTTATTTTTCTAAGTTATTCATTAAGTTAAATCAAAGTCATTTGTTGCCTTTCAGCCTCGAATATGTTTTAAAGTTTCTCTATTATTTTCATCATTCAATCTGCTTTTAAGTCTCTGTAAAGGCCAAGATAAGATTTTTCATATATAGAAATATTTCTTGCTAAGCCTTAATATCTTTATATATGTTTCTCACTCTCTTAGTAAAATATATGATATATTAAATTATTTTCACCTAATGATCAACTTAATTAAATGCTTAAGCACTGGCTGCACATTCCTGAAATATATTTCCTAAATATATACACATTTATATATCCTGTGTCTGTTCCATCATAATAGTTTTCTCATTTAACGCCCACCCATGAAGAACAATTATTGCCCGTGTTTAGCTGGCAAATCCATAGCAGTTTAGGCTTACCTGCCCCTATAAATAACCCGAACAGAAATGTGCCCAACAAAAAAATCGAAAAACAAAAACAATTTGGCAATTTTCCACTTTTTATGCAATTAATCAAAGGCAAACAGAAGCCTTAGAGCCAAAGGAGAACTGTCCCAGCATCTCATGAATATATATTTTGCACTGTGATGTGCTGTGATGTGTGTGGGGGGGCAGCGGCTTTATAGATATGGCAAATCGTCTATCAGTCTCGGGTCCGTTGTCTGCTGCTGCTGGCCGGCAACTGGAAAGCAAATTCAATTAACCCTACGGACCGTAGAGAGCGTAATCAAATACACTCAGCCAATACAAATAAATGTGGATGGTGATGGACCAAACTAAGCCCGGACACGAAATATGGACGAGGGGCAACGGAGAGCGGACAGTGGACTACAGACTATGGATTGCTTTGGAGCGAGACACGCGCCACTTTGAAGCTACATCAGGCAGAGAGACCCAGACGGTTGAAGGGGACCGGCGAGGGCTGGGGAAGGTAGCGGTGGAATGTGTTGGAACCACAACGACACAAAGTAACTAATTATCTCGCCTTATCCCCCACGGACTGGGACTTTGTGTTTACTCAAGTCCAGAGCACTCCAGAGCGCCGGCACTCAACGAGGCAAAATTTTTAATATGTGCGCGCCGAGAGTTGTTCGAAACCGTCTGGCTAACCCTTTCTACACACGTCCACATCCACATCCTCATCCGCATCCCCGTGCAGCACACGTGGCCAGAAATCGAATGCAAGCTCGATATGTCTGTTTGGTCAGTGTGCATACGTTTAAATGGCCAATAGATCAGGACCTTCAAGCAGCAGTTGGCCAGAAAGGAAAAAAAAATGAATGTGAAAAACTCCAAGTGATATGTGTCAAATATGCCCGACACATGCTGCGCTCAACCGGCTGTCCTCCCCCCCCCCAGCAACAACAACAAATCGCAAAGCTCAGCGACTATTCGCACTTTTGCATGTTCTCTGATGACATTTGGCTTAGCCTTGAAAAGGGGTGTTTGAGTTTTAAAGGGCGGACATTGCCAAAGGGAATATGTTTTTTTTTTTTTTCATGAATGACTAAGCTTCTTTGGCTACATCTATTATTTTTAATTTTTTGTTCATATTAACTTTTTTTTTTTTTAATTCATTTATTCATATTAACATAACATACTACTGCATATTTATTAATTTTTTCTATGAAAAATATTTAGTTTTAAAATATTTGCATATTTTAATTGAATATATTTACATATAATTTTTGTTATTAAATATT